AATTGAAAATTATCCTTTTGCACTTCAAGAGTAGCTAAGTCGGTAAAAACAAGGAAGCCAATCAACTGTTGTTACTTTAATATTTTGATTGTCATGTTTTCAACAACAAACAAAGATAGGCCATTTAATATTCTCAACAAATAACAATTCTAGGTTTGATTTCTATTTTTCAGGCAAATATTTATTACTTTGAGACTGATTTCTGCGAGGATTTCTGTTCGTTATTAGTAGCTATCTGTCAGAAAGGCACGTTTTACGCAATAATTATTGCAGCAATACTTTCACACACCCCCGGTATTTTTTCCCCGAATTTTTAACAAATTAAGAATTTTTAGTGTTCCGGTGTTCCGTGTTCCGGAATGATGCTGTTCCGGTGTTTCGGTGTTCCGTGTTCAGGTGTTCTGGTGTTCTTGGTTTTACTAATAGCCGTTTTTATACTGTTGTCAAAATCAAATAACAACTTAATTATGTCCATATAAGGTGATCAAATGTCCTAGGATAAAATTAAACTGCAGTTAATAAAGTTAAATTTAAAATTCCATAATGAAACACTGAACACATGGGGCTTGAGATCAAACGTGACTGTTTAATAGCGTTATAATTTGTCAGTTTTGAATAATATCATGGATATTTTATTGCTTTTCGACAAAAACAATCCCGATACTGCTGCATGCTCACTCTTTTGTGTTGATGTCAACTTGAAATTAACATATTTAAGAAGCAGAATAATGAAAGAAGTCCAAGATTTTATGCCTAAGAATTTGTGTTTATCAGATGTCAAAGTCAAGAAGAAATTTTTATTTCCAAAGCTAAAGAAGAAATGTTAACCATAAAGAGTGTTAGTTTTGAAAAGGACAATAACTTATTCGTGCACTTCGTTGCCATTTGTCCGGATAATCCGCTCGTTGCAGGAAAGGAAAGTGAATGCACGCAATCGCATACTTCAAGTCGGTATATTTCGCCGAGTACTAGCGACAAAAAAACACTATCTTAAGCTTAGGTCTTAAATCTCCAACATCCTGGTCCATTCAAAGAGGGTCCTGAAGGGGTAAAATGGGAACTGGGATTGATCTATTTTTAGCCTGGGAAAATGGGATTTGGGTTGCTGGGACTGGGATTTGGCCACTGCATAGGAATGGGAAATGAAGTCCTCAAAAATGGGAATGGGATTGAGGTAATGCGAGTCGATTCCAAATTTTTCGACGTTTTAAGTATTTTAAAATACAGTTTTGATCCGTTTTTGGTCATGATTTTTGTTGTTAACTATAATATTCACAGCACTACCTGCAAACAGGCATACTCTGGCGCCTGGAATTCCGCTGGATTTCTGATTATGCGCATCCCCAAGTCAGATGCACAGTGGAATATATGGCTGGTTTCCGGTTTCATTTAACCCTTAGTAGTCTTAGTATATACTTCAAAGGCAAAGCACAACAAAAATGTCATGTCAGATCTTAAAAGGTCTTAAAACTGTTTATTCTACTGATAAGGGACGGACCATTATCATCTTGGAGGGGGGGGGGGATGGACATTTCGTCAATGCAAACATTTTTTTTGGTGTTGTTGTCGTTGCAAACAGTTTTTTTGCGCCTGCTTCCTTCTGCAAACAATTTGTTTTTGTCCATCAATTGATCGCTGTGGATTTCATTCTAAATTGATATATATATATATATATATAGTTTAATTTGTGCCCGATTACACTATGTCCACTATCGCATGTGTGATTGAACAACATGTGGTGTTGTTGTCAGAAGTATAAATTTAATATGTAAATAGACATTTAATAGTTTTTTTAGGTTTACTGGTCAGGGCCTTTTTAAGGATTTTTCCACGGGTGAGGGGGTATTTTTTGAAAAGGTACCCTCCTGTGAGATAATATATTTGAGGGGGATAGGAATGGCTGAAGGCCACAGGGTTTGGGGGCATATTCCCCCAGAAAGTGTTTGAAATTTGAAGCCCAGAAATGCCATTTCCTGCATTCTGAGCATTTAAATTTACTCTAAAATTTATGCTACGTATACACACAAAAAATACACAAAAAAATTTTAAAAAAATTAACAATTTATCATTACTTAGTGGTAAAAAACGTAACAATTTAAATCGATTTTGTTATTAAAACAAGGATAAAGCCTAAAATTTACTTTTTGTTTATCAATTTGTTATTTTTTGCTGGTTTGTTTGTATAAATTTAAGAAAAAGGGACTTTTCCTGGTAAGGGGATGTGATTTTGTGGGGGGCATAAGGGGACATTTGCCCCCCCCCCCCGGCTTGTATGTTAAAAAAGGCCTAGATACTGGTCCTCTCATTATTTATGCTACACAATGTCTTGCACCAGTACTTGTCCAATTACCTATTTTATACAAAAAAAAGAATCCAAAAAATGACTGTATTCAATAGATTAATATTTATAACCCATATGTAGATTGCGACATGTGCCCAGCATCTCCCATCCCAGGGCTTTTGGGGTGAAGATCCTGGGTATGTCTGATCATTGTTATTAAACATTAGTTGTTGTCGCATAGTCTCATTAGCTTGCAAACTATTTTTTGCTCTTCTTCTATATGTGTGCAAACAATATATTTGCACTATTTTGTCTTTGCAAACAATTTTTTAAAGAATTTTCCATCCCCCCTCCTCCAAAAAAAGTAATGGGCCCTCCCTAAATAACGCTTTTTTTATTTACTGGGATTTCAAAACTCGGACTGGGATTTCTAATAAAAATCCAACTGGGACTGGGATTTTGCCAAAATTTCAGATGGGAAATGGGATTGGGACCCCCCCCCCCTCAGGACCCTCATCAAAGGAGTGAAGGTATATGACGAGAAAGAAATCGAGGTTGCTATTGGTAAAGAAAAGGAACGTAGAATGTTTTGGAATAAGCGTGTGCTAAAAATCTCTCCAAAACTTCGATGACAAAAGTCAAGATATATGAGACCATACACAATGACTGGTGGTTGGAAAAGTCAGAGAACCTACTACGTCAAAGTGCTAGCACAAGCGATGCTGTTGCCATTGGGCAATCATCAAAAGAAACTCGTGAGCGTGTTAAAAAGGGCACTCTGGAGAACAACCGTCAAAAGGTCGAATTATTTAAGGCAGAATTTGACAAGCTATCTAACGATGTGAAAGAGCTGGGAATAAAAGCTAAAAAAAGCCCAGAAGAGAGAGAAAGATTGAAAACCCTAAGGGAGAAGCTGGCATTGGCAAAAAGTAATTTGAGGAAAGCACATGATGCTATGAGGAAAACCCTAAAAAAACTTAGCGGATGAATTTTTCAACAAACTTACACGTTGTCGGAGTAGTCGGACAACAATTAATATAGATTTCAAATTCAAACTAGCTATAACGTATAGTAGTAATTTGACAGCTCTAATTGCTTTGAATTAATAATGGTTGGGTAAGAACACAAGGTCTTGTACTCATGGGACAAAACTCAAAGAAATAAAAATTACAAAATTTAAAAGTTTTTAAGAGTTTTCTCCCATGAGTACAAGACCTTGTGGTTCTTACCCAACGATTAATTCAAAGGACAAAGCAATTAGAGCTGTCAAATTTATACTACAATGCGTTATAGGTAATTTGAATTTGAAATGGTTCACTTTTTTTGATACACACTGTATAGATGTATAAGGGAGCATCAAAGCTTTGTGTTGTTAACATAAATTATACATGCACTTACGTCGTTGCGACAAACTGTGACAGTAATTATAAATTTGATGTTATTTACTTAAGAGGTGGCACTGACCCATAAGATCTTGAATAAAGTATTGTTACCCCAATTCTGTTTTCTGCAAAAGTTGAATAGTTCAATTTATGTCGTACTAATTTTCGTCATTTGCATTGCACGAGACAACATGAGAAATATTTATACAGACTATTGAAGACTGAAAACTGCGTCCAATGCTGCGAGTAAATTTATATAAAAGAATATAAGTTGGTGTGCTTTATAGATGTGCCGAACCAAATAATTATTATACATAAAAGTTAATAATATATAGTTGATGTGCTTTCATGTGCCGAACCAAATTATTATCACATTGTTCATTTACCAAGACGAATATTTCCTCGAATATTTTGAAGAAGAATAATTTCCATGTGTTCATAGTATGTCTATGGAGTTCAGGGCGATTTCAATGTCAGTGCTTCTAGATATGGAACTAAGACTATATATTAAGTAATATTCGTCAAATAAATAGCAAAAAATCCGAAATTTGAGTTCCTTAATAATTTCATTCCGTGGTCGGGCGAGCTATAGGTAATTCAGGGTATGACTAATGAACAGAACTGCAGACCACGGAACTTCGGAACCCTGCGGAACATAATATCGCCTTTTTCTTCTTGTATAAGTGAATGAACTGGTGTGTATGGTGTGTATTTACAACTCTAGTGTGTATTTACACGATTTTGTTCTCTTTCGCCAGTATATTAGTTTGGGCAACAATCGTAAACACGTCACTTGGAAAACTTCATACGGCTGGTTAATTTTGCAGGTTGCAGGTTGCAGGTTTGCAATTCCCTACATCCATACGATGAATGAGATCAGTGACTGATCTCTATGAAGTGATATTCCCTTCAAAATGCAACTGCGATTTTTGTTATGCAACATTGTATTTTGATAAGCTAATTTTCTTTAACAAGGCTGTATTTTGGAACACTGTATTATGCAAGCATGCTTGTATCCTGGTATACTGCAATGTGCAAGCTTGTATTTTGGAACATTAAATTGTGTAAGATTGCATTATGGAACATTATATTATGCAAGCTTGTATTATGGAACATTAAATTGTGAAAGCTTTTTTATATTATGCAACATTAAATTGTGAAAGCTTGTATTATGCAAGCTTGTATTGTGAAACACGCGACGCGCGAGTCGAAACACGTGCTCGTTCGAACCGCGTGTTTATAACGGTCTTGAAATAAAAAATGGCTGATCAACAAACAAACACTGGTCAGTCAAACTTCACACAAGTTGTTAGCTTGTTGAGACAAGCGGAATCTTTGCTTTCAAGTGTATCTAATAGTGATAACACAGTAGCTAATAATACAAATGCATCATTAAGGCCACCTAACAGTTCAACCGTGACAGAGAATTCGAATGTGGATAGTGTGCCATCAGTCGCGACAACGTCGACAAGTTCTGATAGATCCTTGGCGAACTTTCGCTCGCTTTTTTCCAGTTACAATCGTGGGTCATTTCGGCAAAATTCATCTCGTGCGTCTTCGGCTCCACCGCCAAAACGAAAACGAACACTTTCTCAGTTTGTACCCAAAGATACGTGGACCCATGAATTCTTTTGTTTGGCTGATCGCCATCAAAACTATCAACCAACTCGAGGACGAAAATGTGACCTTCAGCTTGCTGGGTTAGGAAGAAAAAAAAGTTTTTAAAAAAGATGGTAGTGCATCTGCTTTTGTGGCCAAACTCGAAGAATATTTTCCGAAGCTTCAGAATTGTGGTGGCTTCGAAATCCTTCGCAGCGGAGCTAGCAATAAAGATTTGGTTGTAATACATCCACCGCCATCTGGTTACTCTGTGCCCTTTTTGAGAGAGGCATCCGGATTAGGCCAAGCACTGGCATACATCAGACCAATTCAGTCCTCTCTTAATATGGATCAAGTACAACCAAACTCGAGTCAGGTACTCTTAGCATAATTTTATCATTACAATTGTTGTTATCTCAAATTGTTTACCACATTGAATATTGATGCCCAACACAGGGTGTTCAAAGTACTGAGTTGCACTGCACCTAGATGCGCCCTCCTTTGTCACTCTACCTAACATTGGACAATCTTACTTGTCAGGGAGAGAGAACTTGGGAACTGAAACCAATTCCCCTTCCCTGCCCCCCCCCCCTACTTTTTGCCTCATCACAACAATTTGTGGGTGTTGAACCCATTAAAGTGCAAGACTCTCCTCCTGACAGAAAATTGTCTGGCATTAGACAGAGCAAGGAAACAAATAAAGTAGGGTGCATTTGATTAATGGGTTATAAGACAAATAAAGGTAAATGTACTCCACACACCCCTCCCTTGGTGTTAATTAGACACATTGTAGTAGACAGAGTAACATAATTGAAGTAGGACAAATTGCCTGTTGGCTTTTTAAGTCCCAGTGTCTAATATACTGTATAAAAAAATAAATAGAAATGATCTATAAAAAGGAAAAACAATGTTGAATAGCAAGTACCAAAATATAGATGTTTACTAGTAAGAACAAATGGGGATTGTATTATTAATAGCCGTTGTATTTTGAGTAAATTGCAATAATTTAGTCAAAAATATAAATTGTATTTGAAGGACATGTTATCCAACTCAGTGCAATGCCCCCAGGTCAAGTGCAGACATTGTCACCAAGAGTTGCCTATGACAGAAGTTCGCCAACACCAGCAACTGTGTCCAGAAATTTCAAGCAGTTATTCACTTGATGGGTTAGTATTATTAAGTTATAAAATAGATGGAGACTGATCAAGGAGACTGAAGTTTGAATATACTGTCGGTGTCTTATGGCCCACAAATAGCTATATATAAATACTGTGGATACACCAATAATACTTGTATAATCCATTTTTCAATTTTGTTAACTCCTGCTTAATTTAAACATGTTTGTTTTCACACAGTTTTTTAAACATGGATGAGGACGAGGACGATGATTTGGATGATTTGGTAAGGAACAGTACTGTATTTTATTGGACAGAAGTCAAAGTCATTTATATTAATAGCTACAGTATTATAGGAGGAGACTATTTCTGAGGTGTAAAAAGCATTTGACTGATTACATTTTGCATTCCCTTGGTCTCAATTTACATTCCCTTGGTCTCAATTTACACATGTAAAAATCTCACATCTTGTAACAAGTCTGCAAACAAGCCGTCAACAAGATGTATTCGCACTGCTTGTCACAAGTTGTCAACAGATTTGGAACAACTTGTTGACAACTTGTAACAACTTTGTTGAAATTATCAGACTTGTTGCAAGGTTGTTCTGACAAGTATGTTGCATGCTTGGTAATTGGTATAACAAGATTGTTACAACCTTGTGTTGACAACCTTGTAACATCCTTGTTATATCATGGTTGTAACAAACTTAATGTTAGCGCAGTATTGTAACAATGCTGATAATGCCATCAAGCTTGTTACAAGTTGTTAACAGCTTGTTCCAAACTTGTTACAACAAACTGGGAATAAGCAGTGTGAACACAACTTGTTGACAGCTTGTGAACAGACTTGTAACAACTTGTTTGCAGACTTGTTACAAGCTGTGCGTTTTTACGTGTGTACATGAATGTCGACATGTCAACTGTAAATGCACATGACCTAAATACTGAGACAATGAAACTATCTACCTGTTTGGTTACCCATGGTTTCTTTTTGTTAATTAAAATCTGTTCACGATAACCCTCAATTTGTTCAAAAGCTGTTCACTGTGTATTGCAGTGTGTGTACCCTGTTGCCGTATTTCTTCTGAGTTTACATATAAGTGCATCATTTTTTAAATAATTTTATCTCTAACTAGCCTACAACAGGTAGTGATGAGGTTGTGATAGTTGAGGAAGTTGTGGCAGATGAAGTAGTAAGTTCCAAAATCCAGAAACTTCCAATTTATCAACATCTATGGTTGATCAGCTGCGACCAATATTCCCGCAATTATCAAACGATGAATTAAGAGAGGCATCAGAACGTTATTTATCTGTTGATGATGCCATTGATGGTCTACTTGAAAAAATCCCAGGGGGAAATGGCAAGTATTTCTCGTTTATAATAAGCAATATTACATCCAAGAAAACAGGCACTTCTATAAATGAAAAATTAATATTCAATAAATGGAAATTGTAACTTCTATAAATGGAATTTTTTTCAATAAAGTACTCCAAGTGGTCTTGCACTTGTATTCTAAAAGCTCACTAACACTCTATGGGCGGAGGTTCAATCTGAACTTCTCTTGAGTGTCATTGCTGTTTTTGAATAGCTGGAGGGTTAGTGGTACATGTACCCTGTACTTTATACTACTCATCCCCATGCAGCTATTCAAAAAAACGGAGTTGACAACTCAAAGGAATCTCAGATTGAACCTCCACTCCTTGAGTTCGAGTGAGCTTTTAGAACACAGGCGTATTTAAACTTTTGTCCATGACTGTCAAGTAAATTATTATTTTTAATTATAATAAAATAAAATTAAATTTATTCAAATATGCCAACAAGTACTTCTCTATTTATCTCAGCTAGTATTAAGAGTGACCTGCTTAAAGGAAATCAAGTTACAAGATTTGTTATAGTTTTGTTAGATCTCAGCAGAATAACAATCAAAAAGTTTTTTAAAAAAAATGTTTCATTTGGTGTATATGTAACAATTTATTACTGGACAATTTATGTTTTATTATTTATAGATGAAGAAATGATTTATGATAAAAATGCCAAACCATCTCTTTCAAGTTTGTTGAGGAGTTTAGTACCTGGTGATGGAACAAATTTAAAGCGTATTTCAGTATCTAGGGAAAATATTCTGGAAGATAGTATAATTCACTTCAAGAAACATGATTACAATTGTTCTTATCAAGTCCGAGTACGTTTTGAGGGCGAGCCTGCAATTGACGCTGGAGGACCCAGAAGGGAGTATTTTACCATGTTACTGAAAAGTCTTGTATCATGTAAAAGTTCTATCAGGCTTTTTGAAGGAAAAGAAGGCAGGTTACTTCCGATGAAAAACACTGATGCCTTACGCGGGCAGCTCTTCAAGATTGCAGGAAGAATGATTAGTACCTCTATTGTCAATGGTGGACCCGGTTTTCCATGTCTATCGCCCCCTGTTTATGAATACCTTGTGAAAGGATTCACAGAGGAATTAGTATCAATTATTAACAAAGATGTCATATTTGACATTGATGCATCTCAAGCAATTGATAAGGTAATATAAATTCTTATTTTCTGCACTGAAATTTCATAGATTTAAAGTGATAATAAAAAAAAATCATTAAAAAAATTTAAAGATTGCTTACATGAGTTTTGTTTGGATAGTGTTTAGTAGAATAATACCTACGATACAGTTAAACTATTTTAAAGTTTTTCTATGTAACTCTTTATTGTATTCCTTTTATTTCTCTGAATGTGTATTTATAAATATAAAGTCTGCCATGCATATAACAACCGGTTCACATGCAAACTGTTCCCATCTTCGCAAAGTCACGTGTCCACCGCCGGACACTATACTCTCAGCATGCCTCCATGGTGTGTATCCACACTCAAGAGTAACATCAGAAACATCATATTCACCTGAGTGCATATCCTTTCCTCTCTTTTTAAAAACAGATTGACCATGCAAATGCTGAAACAATAAATTCAATTGCCATTGAAACTCAGCACCTCTTGGTAGAAGCTGGGTTCCCTCATACCCTAACTATTGAGAATAAAATGCAGGCTATAGCCTGCATGTATCTTCATCATGTAATAACAGTCCGAAAAAGTGAAATTGACCAGCTGGCAACTGGACTGGGGCAACTACTTACACTGGCAAGGAAATATCCAGATCTGCTTAGTCCTCTATTTGTTCACAGTGATGATGGTGCGGACACAATGACACCTGATGCATTCATGGCCATTGTAAAAATAGATGGTGTTAGTCCTAGGGTTGTAGATTACTTCACACAGTATGTGCATGATGAAGGTAAGTATGCATCAGTCTTCCATTAAAATTTTAATTATGCCCTCATTGCTAAATTCGGAGAAAAAAGCATAGTGGATTTGCAGTCAGTATGGTTCAAATATAAAAGGTGAGGGATTTGACTTTTCCAGGGTGTAATGCAACTCAATGGGTTAAGGGCGAATTACATGAGCTCCCATATAAACACTCCATCTAGGCCAGGCAGTGTGAAATTTGCCTTT